ACCCATTTGGCGTACTTGAGGTTGAGGTCTTCGGCGTCGTGCGCCCAGTGGGTGTACGCGAAGTGCGCGTGGGGCTGCTTACAACGTGTGGGCACTGCTTGCTGCCATTGCTCCTCCCAGAGGTCGGTCGGGATAGCGTAAGGGATAGGCTCTTGTGCTGCGGGCTCTTCTCGAGGCTGGAGTTGTGCTGCTGCTTGTTGGAGTTCAGGAGGCAGTTCGCGTAGGCGTGCTGCTCGGGCTTCTGCTGCTTTGCGTCTCTTAATGGCGGACTTGCTGTTGGGGTCGGGTGGGATCCTGGGTCTGTCCACTGTGGGGAATGCTCTGGGGGCATGTATCGACTGATACCACCAGGGGTCTGCACTGCCTGCTCGAACCTCCAGGCCCACGTGGGTGGCCCAGGGGACGGTGGGGCACTGGCGAATGGAGATCGTGTGCTCGATGCCAGTCTTGACCAATGCGAAGTCGAGCGTGAGCCCCTGGCCCTTGTCGCACGTGGCAGATCCAGGCGCTCGCACGATGGTAGCATCCCATTTGGCGGGCCACTCTGTCGCTGCGGGCTGCTCAGGAGTCATATTCCAATCGGCCAGGATAGCATAGTAACAAAGGCCCCCAGCGAGAGTAGCTCATCGCGCACTGCACCCTCGATCTGCCTGTGGGGTTCCAGGTATGTTGCAATAACGACCAGGTTGCCCGAACGTCTGTGCCATACCATGGGCGTGAAGCCTCGGAACGGGTCGGGCCTGCGCTGGGAGATGGCCAGGTCGCGGAGGTGGTTGAAGGTTGTGGCCTGGACGTGGTACCTGGAGAGGATAATCTCGCCGCCCGTGTTGCCCCCGTCGGATCTGCTGGTCGGCGTGGCTGTAGTCGATGATATCCTCCAACCATCTGCTGCTAGCTTGTCGTAGATGAGAGGGGCCTTACCGTGCGAGATGTGTGTTTCAACCAATGCCACCATCTGATATTGTTTGCCTGGTCCTGCCAACCATTTCTCCGACTGTGGTCCCCACTGGGTAATGTTGGAGAAGAAAAGGGAGTGATATGACGGCGTTGGATTCGTAGGCCCTTCATCTTGGTAGACGGGTCTGGGGTCGGGTCTCGGGCTGCTGGGCTTCCATGGGCCTTCCACAGCGGTCGAGTCGATGGCTTCCGCAATCTCATCGCCCCCTACCAAGGACTGTGTCTTGGGCGGGGCGGCATCAGGGTGTGCCTTTGGCACCTGATCCCCTGGTTCCTGTACCAACTGCTTGTCGACAGCTTGGGCCGTCTCATCACTCCCTACCGAGGACAGCGTCTCGGGCGGAGCGGCATCAGGGCCGGCTCGCGCGGCACGCTGCGGCTGCCCTGGGTCCCATGATACTGCGTCGACGGACTGTGCCGCCTCATCGCCCCCAGCCGAGGACAGCGTCTCGGGCGGGGCGGTAGCAAACTGAACTGTGGCTGCGAAATCGATGTGGGCGTCCAACTCGGCCAGCTCGTCGAACGGGTCGAGGACTGCGTCCATTGTGTTGATGATCGGTGGGTTGTCGTATTTCATGGTCTCTGACGGTAGGCGTCCCGTCTCACCATTCCGTCCAAGGTCAGGTAGTAGTCGGCTAAAGAGGCTGCTGCGCTCCAGCCGCGGGGGTAGCGGTGGGCTTGCGCATCTGGCTGAGCATCTTCTGCGCCTTGTCTTCGAGGTCGGGGTCCTTGTTGATCGCTGGTACAGGCTGTGCAGCGACGCTGCCGTCAGGAGTAGCGCCAGCAGCAGGTGCGGGAGGCTCGTCGCCTGGCGCCGCTGTCGATGAGGCCGCAGAGCCATCAACGTCCGCTGCGGCTGCCGCTGGGGGTTCGCCTGCTGCCGCCGAGGCGGCGGGCGGAGATCCACCTCCCTCTCGGGCGTGACCGTCCTCGTCGGCCCGCTGACGCTTGGCGGCGAGGCGCGTGCGCATGGTGCTGGCCTCTGTGCGGAGCTGGCTGATGCGGCTGGCGGTGTTGCCAAAGAGCTCTGTGACCTTGGCCTCGAGCTCAGTGGCGAAGCGCTGCTGAAGGGATTCCCATGCCTGGCGATCGCTGTCGTCGATGTCGAGGCCTTGGAGATCGAACGCCGAACCCGCTTCGATGGATATGTCGCCGTCCTCGAGGAGGCTGGTGAGGTTGAACGTCGGGTTCTGCTGCGAGGCCGTGGGAGTAGCCGTGCCGCCCTTGCGAGCAACTTGAAGGGCATCGAGAGCGGCTTGGGCCTCGGCCTGGGCTTCTGCCAACTTGCAGGCGGCCTCCTCCGACGCCGCCTTGCGCTCGGTGTACCAGCTGAGCGCCTTTTGCTCACTCTCGAGCAGCCTCTCCAGGTTGTTCTTGCAGCGGCGCTCCGTGGCCTGGGCGCGGCTGTAGATGTCGTTGAGGTCGGCTGGCTTCTGCGGCTGGGGCGGCGGGATCTGCGACTTGATACCGTCGATGGCTGCCTTGTCGATGTGGGGGGCGCTCGCCTGGAGCTCCGCAAGGATGTCCTCTGCGGAGCGCACCTTGGGGGTGTCGTTCTTGTTGGTCCACCAGTCGTCCTCTTGGTTCTTGCCATTGCCATTGCCTCGGCGGCGGCGGGACTTGGGCCATGACGACCACGGTTCCCATCCCGTCTCGGGGCTGGGCTGCTGGGTACAACTGGAGTCGGCTTGGGCTGCGGCCTTGGCGCGGGCCGCCCAGGCGCCTTGAACTGGAGGCGGGGAGTCTGTCCACGGCGCCAAGGCTTTGCTGCACCAGTAGCACGTCTGGTTGGTCTTGTAGTTCCAGGAGTACGAGCAGGAGTAGCACTTGACATAGGCGCTGCGCTGCAGCGGAGGCGCCATGGACGAGAGAGACTGAGGAAGCTCACCTGCGGGCTGCAGGAGGCACACGGAGAGTTGAACAAAGCTGTCGGGCTCAAGGGCCCTGGCACTGGCCGCGGACTAGCGGTATCCACTTGTTCCACTGTGGAACTGGGCATCTTGAGCCCAAATGGCTACGGAGGAGGAGGAGGAGGAGGAGGAGGAGGAGGAAGTGTCCACGCTGGATCGGCGCTGTCTCATGAGATTGTGTCTCATCATTCCCCCCCCTGACGCCCGTTTCGGGAGCGGCCAAGAGGGGGGCGTCCAAGAGGGGGGGGTGCAAATCATGACCGGCGGCATGTGCGCGGCCCAGCGGGGGGGCCAGGGACGTAATGAAATAAGAAGAGGCGCCATGAAATATGGGGAAATATCATGGCCCCCGCCATGATATCCACCCCCCCCTAGTCATCACCCCCCTCTTTTCCCCCCCTGACGCCCGTTACACGGGGGGGTGAGGGTCCGGGCCCCCCCCCGTGGGGGGGGGGTAACGGCAACCTGGCCGGGCCCCCCCTGCGTTGGGAGGGGGGGCCGGGCGCCCGACGATACGACGACGAGGACGAGGACGAGGACGACGACGACGGGGACGAGGGCGAGGACGAGAACGCCGACGAGGACGAGGACGAGGAGGAGGTGCAGGAGGAGGTGGAGGAGGAGACGACGACGACGACGGGGACGAGGGCGAGGACGCACGCTGACGAGGAGGAGGTCGAGGAGGAGGAGGACGGCGGCCGCCCGAGGGTTTCCACAAGTCACCCGATGCCTCTGGTCTCCGGAGACCTTTGGAGGCGTCTGGGGGAACTCAGAGGCCCTCGCTCGGAGACGACGACGAAGCCGATGCCGACGGGGACGGGGACGAGGACAACGACGGCCGCCCTATAGGTTTCTGGTGGTTTCCCGAGGCCTCGGGAGATCTCCAGAATACTATGGAGGCGTCTGGAAGCCCTGCGAAGCCCTCGGGTACGACGACGACGAAAACGACAATAACGACGACGACGCCGAAGACGAGGACGATGACGCTGACTGCGACAACGCTGACGACAAGGACGGCCGCCTCTGGAGGCGTCTGAAAGCCCTCGGATACCCATTGTTGTCAGTACGGCACCATACCTGCGGGGCGGCCCCCACCGTACCTTCGTCATCGTTACGGGGGGACCCCTCTTAACGGACTTTACGGGTTCAACGACTCGGAAAAAACGCTTCCATCGATTACTCTGTCCTACGCAAGCGCTCTTAAAACGGAATCTTGAAGACACACGAGGCCCCCAGGAGTCGCTACCGAAAAGGCAATCGGATAGCTCACCACCAACGAGAAGAATGCCCAAGCTCGGAAGCCCAAAACGGGCAGTAAACAAATGGGTACGGCACGTACGATCCCTAACAGCACATGCTGTCCAAAACCGAGAGCCACCGCTGTTGGGCAGGCCGCCTTCTGTCTCAGATGCACAGCGTCCGCGGCGACACCGACTCGCTGAAAACGAACGGCTGTCGGCGTTCGCCCCATAGTGGCTGTGCCCATGCAAGTCGCACGGGCCACGGAAGAGGCCCACGAGCAAGCTGCCAGGCGAGGACATGTCCCCGACCGACCGCTTGGGGAAGCAAAACCCTGGGACTCTGGCGGGCGGTGGATGTGGATAGATGCTTGCCCCAAAAATGTGCCGAAAATATGATATATCCGCGTCCGTCCCCTGCCGGGGACCCCGAAGACCGATCCTCCAGGAGGCGGTTATGTGTATATTCCCGCTTCGGACATGCACCCCCCCAGGCCCCAGGAGTTCCTCCTCCTCCTCCTCCTCCTCCTCCTCCTCCTCCTCCGCCTCCGCCTCCGCCGCCTATCCTCTTCCTCTTCCTCTTCCTCCTCGCCCTCCTCCTCCTCCTCCTTCTCCGCTTCGTTCTCCTCCTCCTCCTCCTCCGCATCCTTCGCCTCGTCCTCGTCCCCTGTCCTCCTCCTCCTCCTCATCCTCCTCTTCCTCTTGCTCCTCCTCCTTTTCCTCTTCCTCCTCCTTCTCTTCCTCCTCCTCCTCCTCCTCCTCCTCCTCCTCCTCCTCCCCGTCCTCCTCCTCCCCCGTTTCCTCGTCATCCTCTTCCTCCTTTTCCGTTCCCCCCCCCCCGTGTGACTCACCAGGGGCACGGCGGGAAGGCGCCGCCAGGCGCTCTCGGCCGGAGGCGCGGACGGGCGGAGACCGCGCGTGCCCCCGAGGGCCGCGCGGCCGATGGCCCCGACAGGGTCCCTGGACAGCGCCAGCCGCGGCAGATCCAGCGGTAGCGCGGGACAGGAGGAGAACTGGATGAAGGGCGAGAGGGATGAGGATCAGGAAGAGGAGGAGAAAAAGGGAGAGCCATGGAGCTATGGGAAGCAGAGAAGCGAACCCGCGCGAAAGGACCGCCTCACAAAAAGCACTGCCTCATCGCAGCACGGGCCGCCCTCCGCCTCCACACGGGGAGACCTCCCCTCTCGCGCGCAGGACAGGCCGCTCGCTCACCGGCGAGGATCTCACGCAACACGGTCGAAAAAACAAGTCAGAGCCTTGTCGCCCCGTGACCCGCTATCCATGCGCGATGGCAGTGTAACGTAGGGGGACGGTCGTCTCACCTCCTCACTGCGAGGTCCTTCCCGACTATCACCACCCACCAGAACACACGACATTTACCCGGACAAAAAAAGCGTAGGGTTTCGGGGGGCGTCTACTGACAGTGAGGACCACGTAGTGAAGCCAACGCTCGGGCGCCCTTCAACTCCCACCCTGGGGTTCTCAGCTGCCCGAACAACTCTGTCTTCGAGGCCTTTCTGGGGCGCTTAGGGAGAGGAGGCAGCGGATGCGGGGGCGGCCGGGGCATCCCGCCGCGGAATTTCACGCAAGGCTACGCGCCCCGGCATTTGCAGCCAGCGGGGGCGAGTCGGGAATCGCAAGTTCGTGGGTCAGTATGGGCGGTCTCAACCTGCTCGCGGGGGATTCTGAGCGGGTTCCCTCCCGACATAACATTTGGGCAGGCGGAGACATTCAGTAGACGTCGCACAGCAGTTCCCTGTCGCGGCTGTCCGTCCGCGCACTCGCCCCCATCTGTCTCGCGCGCGGTCGAGGCGGTCTCGGAGCAACGGCTGGGCCCCGTCGGCGCGATCGCCCTGGACCTCGGGCGCCGTCTAGGGGATGGGGCCCGCAGCAGCGCCCGACAGTCGCAGGCCGCGCCGAGGCCGACGACTCCGCAGCTGGCGAGGCCGTCTCCCCAGCAAAACGGCCGGGACCCGCTGGCGCGATCGCCCTGGGCCTCGCGCACCGACCGGGCCCGACAACCCCCTCGGCAGCGCCCGACATCGCAGGCCGCGCGAGGGCCAGCGAGAGCGCAACTGGCGACGACGCGCGGCGTAGATCTCCGCGAAGGTCGCGAGCTCCGCGTGGAGCATCCGCTCGCATGCGACATGGGCGCCAGGCCACTCTTGATCTCGCCTCGAAACTACTCCGCCGACCCCCCCACGACGGCCTTCGCGCGCGTTCTTGCGCGTCGACGCCGCCTTCGTGACAGCGGACCTGGTCTCGCGCTCGCCCAGCGCGAGGCCATGGATATCCGTCTTCATCTTGCACAGGTTGACGTCGCTCGCCAGTCCTACTCCGTCGCCCTCCATCTCCAGACGCTCGAGCGCGCCATTCTCCCCCATCACGTTGTCTGGCCCCCCCTTTCCGCGCGTTGCTTGTGCATGCTGGCCGCCCGCGCACGCGCCATGCTCTTCGCTTTGATGATGGGCTGGAGCACGACTGGCGTCAGAACCGTCGTCGGCAGCACGAAGTCCGTCTGGCGCTGTCTCACGAAGGTTCAACGACATGCATATTCACCTCCTGCGTCGGCATCTCGTCTAGGTCCGCAGAGGCGCTCTCGTCTTGCATATTCCTGTCCTCGGCGCCGCTGTCTTGCCCACCCCTGCCGCGGCCTTCCGCCCCCCCGGGGCTGCCCCCTGCTGGGCGCGACGTGGCCCCCCTCCTCGCGTCACCGCTCTCCGCGCCCATCGGATCGGGCACAGCTTGGAACGTCGAAATGGATATTCAGTGTGCAACTGCGGATGGCGGCTGGCGCGGCGATCGCACGAACCGTTCTCTGAATGAAGTGTCTGCGGACAGCGCGGGCATGGGGCGATGGGGGCGGGGGTGGCGCCGTAGTTCTGGGGCGACCGATCTTGGGCAACTGCAATGCCGATGCGCTTTCGTCATATGTAATAATTGCGGGGACCTACAGGCTACGTGCTGGTTTGTTCTTGCCAACTTGGACGGGGGGCCGCGCATTCCCGCGCTGACCTACCGAGGCGCGCATTTGACGCGCGCAGTTGACGCGTTCGGAGGCGGCGGCCGCCGGCTAGGCCGCCCCCGAAGACCACGCGGCGCGCGCGGTAACCTTCAGCGGCCTCATCTGCGCAGGCCACGATCTGCGTCGGCGCTGGCGCCCGACGGCAGCCGCTCGGCCCTCGGCTTGGACGCGTCGATCGCGATGAACTGCTCACTCGCTATCTCGTTGGCGCGGGATGCTGTAAACGCGTCAGCCAATAAAGTCCACATGTTCCTCTTGCGTCTCCCAAAGCTCCTGGCCTGGCTCGGTGATCCTGATGCTCTGAATCCTCAAAGAACTGCTCCGCCCGCGGTTGGTCGCGGATGGGGGTGGTAGTTCGCCCGCGCAAGATCATTCCAATTGAAAAGCGGAACATTGGGTCCCTCTTGCATCGCCATGCCGAACACCGCCGCCAATCGTTGCGCGGGTCGGCGAGGGCCCCGAGCCAACAGTTGCCATTCGCGCAGACGCAGCACTCTGAGCTCCAGCGAGTCATAGTGGGTGCCATATCGGCCCCTTCATGTCTGATATTGGTACCATGTGCTTCTTCAGGTCGCTTTGCGACTTGGCCAAGTAGCGACTCCCCGTATTTTATGCACGCAACGTCTGGGTGGGGCACTTGCTCACGTCAGCGCGAGGGCGGGGGTGCCAGAGAGCGCCGAGACGCCGATGATGCTGCGGAAGACTCTGCGATTGAGGGTCCATGACTGGCGCGGGCACCAGAACTTCCTCGCGCGGCCCGGGCCTCTCTCGATTGCAAGGTATCTCGGAGATACCTCTCCACACCATGATCCAGACGCATGGGCCGCCGTGCCCGGGCAAGGGGGCGGGCGCGCTAACAAAGCCGTGACCGTCAGCGCACATGCGTCGGTCGAAAACTGCCCCTGTGCACCTACCGCCCCCTGGCCCCTCGCGCCGCGGTGCGGCGCTTTTCTTGGCAACGCTCTGTGCGATGCCCAAATTGGTCAGCTCCCTGTAGAGCGCGAGGTCGGATATCTTGACGCGCTCTCTCACGTCGTCGGGGCGGGCCGCCTCGCGCGTCCCACTCGCGTCGAGGAGTCCGCCAGCTCGGTCGGGGCGGGGGCCCCTCGCGCGCTACTCGTGGGGCCTGACCTCGTCGACCGCGTTGGCCCAGTCAATGACTGGGATCTGGATGGCCTCCAGGTAGAGGGCCGCTGCGTTCGCATCGCCCGCGCAGCGACCCGGCGCGGCCGCGGGGGCGGCGGCCTCGGCGGGGTCACCCGCCAAGAGGCAGCCGCCGCGGCGCATCTCATTAAGGACGTCGCACGCGCCGCGCCCGTGGATCCTGTCTGTCGCGCTGTCCAGGGCCTCGTGGCTGACTGATGCGAGGGATTCTGCATGTCGCGCTTGGTGTCGGCGCTTGATTTCTGCGCTTTCTTGGGCCCCGAAATCAGCGCGGCCGTCGCCCGCGCGGCCCCTGACCTCGATCCCTCTGGCAACTATCCCAAATCGCAGTGGAGCAGCAATCGCATCGCGGACGTCCTTGCTTTCCCTGTATGTATAGGGGCCTGGTGCGCGTGCGATCTTGCCCAATCCGCGACGAGTCTTCTCAGCTGTCTGACTCGAACAGATTCCCCGATATCCCGTCTATCGCAAGCCGCCAGGGGGAATCGGAGAAGGAGCGCGCAGTCCTGCCGACGCCGATGTCGGCGTCGGCCCGCCCTCTGTTAGCGGGGGCGCGAATGCCTTTGCTGGTGCCGACCGCGGGATTGCAGCGCCCCTCCTCTTGGCGCCTCGAAATCCCCTCGCGACGCCGCCGCAGTCGCCAACGGCCTCGGCGGTGCCCCCCATGGCAGGGGCTGGCCCGCAGTCGCCTGGCGGCCCGCCAAGGCGGCGACGAGGGGCCCGAGAATACACCGAAAGGCAAGCTGCCCAGGCAGCGGCCCCCCGACGAAGGGCGACAAGGCCAAGCAACCAGCCGCCCCGCGGGGGTGAGAACCCCAGCAGCCGCCAGCGGCCGCCCCGAACGGACAGGCACCCACGCCCGAAACCAGGGCCCTGCATGACGAGCCAGGCCCAACGTCTCGACGGCCGCGCATTCGGGGGCTCACAGAAGGGCACTCGCGGCACTCAAGGCGCCCGCGCTCCAAGCCCCGATAACATCCTCGAAGTAGACGTCAGCCGCGGAGGCGGGCTCGCGCCTCGCGCGGATGCACCTGGTCAGAGCCGCTGCCGTCGCAACAGTCGCTGCGCCACCTCCGCTCAAGCCCCCCCCCCCGCAGCGCCGCCCTGGCGCCCGTGCGGCCATCGCTGGGCCCGCGGAAATGCGGCGCCCACCCCCTGGCTATCCGCCCTCGCAGCCCCCGAGAAGCGCCCCACCTGCAGGCGCAGCCGTCACCTACAAATCGCCCCCAGGCCCCCCCCCCTGACCTCGGGGCCGCGATGGGCGATCAAGTCCTGCCGACCCCGCGACTCCCGGACGCACGTCCGCGCGAAGGTCGCGAGTCCTGGCGGGAACGCCGACTCATTCCCCACCAACGAGCCACGGAAGCTCCGATTACGCAGCCGCCGCATCAGCAGAAAACCGCGGTTGCCAAGAAAAGGGCGACCAGACCAGACAGCAGCCAGGGCGCCACCCCGCTGCCGAGGTCAACCACCGGCCCCGGTCAGATTGCGCAGCCAGCGGGGCGCGATGAAGAGCGGGGGCCAATAGCCAGCCCCCGCCCCCGGCAAAACTTCCACTGGTGGGCCCCGAGCGCGCCCGCCAAAGGGGGCTTCCGAGGCCTCGAGTGGAAGAGGGAGGGGGGCGGGCCACGGGCCTATCGTAGAGAGTGGCTTGCAGGCCGCGAAGCACGATGGCCCCACCCACCTCCCAAGCCACGTTGCCACGAGCGCTCAGCATGCATGGGGCGTGTGGGCGCGGCCGAGGGAGGGCCTTGGGCCAGAAACTGTATGGAAACCTTGCTGGCGCGGATCGGGCAGTTATAGGGGAGGTGGAAAAAAGATGAAGATGAAAAGGAGGAGGAGGAGGAGGAGGAGGAGGACGAGGAGGAGGACGAGGAGAAAAATGGCAGCATCCCACGGATACTCTTGCCTCCACTGCGCCAGCACTCAAGGAGGATGAGAAGGCAGGGGAGGAAGGATGGGGAAGAGGAGGAGGAGAGGAGACGGATGAGGCAGGGGATATGGGGATGGGGGACGAGGGAGGAGGGGTAAGGAGGATGAGGAGGAGGAGGAGGAGGAGAGGAGGAGGAACAGGAGGCGGTGGACGAGGAGGAGGAGGAGGAGGAGGGAGGCGGGCGAGGGAGGAGGGGGAGGAGGAAGAGGAGGAGGAGGAGGACCAAGAGGAAAGGATGCGAGGTACAGTATATGTTTTCGAAGGGCTCGCCCCGCGTGCGCGGCGCTCAGGCCGCAGCCGCCGCGGGTAGCGTGCCGCGGAGGGCCCCAGCCGCCTGTCGACTCCATCGCTCCAGAGGATCCTCCTTGCCCCGTCGTTTCTCCTCCTCCTTGGCCCCTCCTCCTCTCTAATCCGCTACACCTTCCTCCCTTTCCTCCTCCTACTCATCCTCATCGTCCTCCTCCCTCATCCTCCTCCTCCTCTCTCTTCCCTCCTCCCTCCTCCTCCTCCTCCTCCTCCCTCCTCCTCCTCCTCCTCCTCCTCCTCCTCCTCCCTCCTCCTCCCTCTCCTCCTCCGCCTCCGCCTCCGCCTCCGCCTCCGCCTCCGCCTCCTCCTCCTCCCTCCTCTCCTCCTCCTCCTCCTCCTCCTCCTCCTCCTCCTCCGCCTCTTCCGCCTCTCCTCCTCCGCCCTCCTCCTCTCCTCCTCCTCCTCCTCCGCCTCCTCCTCCTCTCCTCCTCCTCCTCCTCCTCCTCCTCCTCCTCCTCCTCCTCCTCCTCCTCCCCCTCCTCCTCCTCCTCCTCCCCCCCCCTCCCTCTCAACACCGCTGTGATCGTGACAACAGATCATTCTATATGGCCGCCTTCTCCCTGTTTCTTCCCGCCCGTGGCTCGCGCCTCCACGCCCCTCCAAACATTACTGGCTCCGCAACCGCTGCAGGTCTGAGACTGAGGGCTGATGCAGCTCTCGCTTTGACCTCGACGATCCGACGACACACTCGGTTGCGCAAGAGGCTCCTCGCATCTCCCTCATAGCATCCTCCTTCTCGTCAGTATCGTAGTCAGCCTCATCCTCATCATCAGCATAATCCGTATCGGCATAATTGCCATCAAACTCATCATAACAACCATCACCATCACCATCACCATCACCATCACCATCATCATCATCATCATCATCATCATCATCAGCATCATCATCAATCCAGCATCATCATCATCATCATCATCATCATCATCATCATCATCATCATCATCATCAACATCAACATCATCATCATCATCATCATCATCATCAGTATCCTCATCATCATCAGCATCATCATCATCAGCATCGTAAACAGTAGCTGCAGCAGCAACTACATCATCAGATTCAACATCAACATCATCATCATCATCATCATCATCATCATCATCATTATCAACGTCTTCATCAGCATCAACATCATCCTCATCATCAGCATCATCAGCGCCATCATCGTCAGCATCATCATCACCATCATGATCAGCATCATCACATCATTCAAAGCATCATCATCACAATCACCATCGTTGCAGCATGAGGCATCATCACTATCATCTGCATCATCATCATTAGCATCACCATCATCATCATCATTGAGCTTATCGTCACCCTCACCATCACTTCAGAGTCGTCGTGGTCGTGCTCGTGATCTTGATCGCCATCATCACCCTGATCATGATCAGCATCACCGTCATCATCATCATCGTCATCGTCATCAGCATCATCATCGACATCCCTAACACTCAGACTTTTCCTTTCCCCTGTCGCAACCTTCTTATCTTCCTCCTTATCATCTTGATGCTCTGTCTCCGCATCAGCATCCCTCCTTCTGCGCATCATGCTGCCCTCCTGCGCCCGACAAGAAAGAGAACAGGGACAAAAGAGGCGATCTGGGTGGAGAAGAATTGACGATGAAGGAGGGGGATGCAAGAAGAAGGGAGGCAAGCAGAACCCTGTGGAATGTTAGGGCACTCCATACAGCCGACGATCAGAAAAAAATAGAATAGCCGCCACCGTGCCTCAAGACATCACTGTGGCATGCTTCCCTGGTGTCTAGAGTTCCGTGTACTTTGTATTCGAACAAACCCCCGAACTCTTGGAGTCCTTAGGTGTTTTCTAACAAAGTGGGCACGGCTCGACCATAACAGTGTTTCGCGTTTTCGCTTTGTTTTCGCTCTCCCTCGTTTTGTCTCCAATCCGCCTTTGCTGCAAAACGAAGTCGAAACGAAAACGGTCCAAGACATCGCCAAAACAACTGGAACTGCTCCTCCTCCTCCTCCTCCTCCGCCTCCTCCTCCCCCTCCTCCTCCTCCTCCTCCCCCTCCTCCTCCTCCTCCTCCTCCAACTCCTCCTCCAACTCCTGTGCCGCTCTGGCGGCTATGTGGGCGCCGTCGCCGCCCCGCTGTCGCCGCCCCGCCTCCGCCTCGCTTCCAACCGTCGCAGCTGGGCCGCTGTGCCGCTCCGGCGGCCCTGTGGCCGCCGTCGCCGCCCCGCCGCCGCCTCGCCGACTCCCGTGGTATGGGCCTGCCTGTCGGTCTGGCCGCAGTGTGGCTGCCGTCGCCGCCCCGTCGCCGCCCCGGAATGTCAAACGTAGATTCTCCTTTCTCAGACCGGAATGGACTCGACCCCACCCCCCGGAGTTATCGCCCCCCCTTCCGGGTATGTAGATCAGATTTGAATATGACCACATGTCCATCCTAAATATGACATCGAAATGTCAAATGCCAACCGGTATCCCCCCCCTGAGGGTCCCTTGTTTTTTTTTTTTTGTAAAAAAAAAACACTATGCGGTGACATTTCTGTGTTTTTTTTTTCGCGAATCCATTTGCCAAAAAATTGAAGACATGCGCACGCGCGCGTCGTCGCGCACGCATGCCGAAATCCTTAAAAAACCTTTGGTGCCGGAAAGCTTTCGCAATCGAGTTCCCAAAACAAACATACAAAAAACACAGGGTTTCGCAACACTGATTTGCTAAAAAAGCTTCCGCGCGAGCTCTTGCGAAATCTGGAAACCAAGAGGTGTTTCAAGATTTGCGCAAAATGCTACCAGAAGGGCGTCGCGCGCGCATGTCGAAATCTGTCGAACGCCCTTGCGCGTGTGCCGTCGCGAGAATCTTCTGCAACAAAAACAGACGAAGTGCAGACGCGCGCGTCGTCGCGGGCGTATGCCGAAAACCTTCCAAACCCATCGGTTCCGGAAGGATTTCAAAATCGTGTTCAAAAAACCTACTGAAACCCAAGGTTTCGCAACACGGATTTTCAACAAAAGCGTGCGCGCGCGCTCTTGCGTCGTTGTGGTCGTCGTCGTCGTCGTCGTCGTCGTCGTCGCCGTCCTCCCTCCTCCCGCGTCGTCGTCGTCGTCGTCGTCACCTCCGTCGTCTTGTCTTTCCTGGTGTCCGTCGTCGTCGTCATCGTTGGCGTCGTGGTCGTTTCCGTCGCCGTTGTCGCCGCGGTCGTCCTTCCTCCTCCTCCCTCGTCGTCGTCGTCGTCCGTCGTCGGCGTCTCGTCGTCGTCCCTCCTATTTCGTCGCCGTCGTCGTCGTCGTCGGCGTCGCCGTCCTTCCTCCTTCTTCGTCGTTCGCGTCGTCGCCGTCCTCCCTCCTCCCTCGTCGTTGTCGTCGTTGTCGTCGTCGTCGCCGTCGTCGTCCTTCCTCCTCCCTCGTCGTCGCCTTCGTTGGCGTCGTCGTCGTCTTCGTCTTCGCCTTCGTCGGCGTCGTTGTCGTCGTCGAAGTCGTCGGAGACGTCGTCGGTGTCGTCGTAGTCGTTGTGGCCGGTGTCGTCGTAGTCGGTCTTAAGAGGTTTTGCAAACCAAGTTGCGGGTGGGTGGGTGGGATGTTTGCGCGAGCAGTGGAGATGACGACTTCAAGTTCTGCAAAAAAGTGGATTCTCCTTTCTAAAAAAAAGAATAGACTCTACCCCCCCGGACTTATCGCCCCCCCCCTGGGATAGTCCGATTTCATACATATATATACACATATAAAAATGCATATATATATATATATATATTCTGTACACTCGTCCATCCTAAATATGAAATCGTACCATCCCACCAAAAACGGTTTCCCCCCCTGAGGTCTCCTGTTTTTATTTATAAAAAAGAAAGAAACACTATGCGGTGCCATTTTTTGTTTTAACACAGCACTTTTTCGCGCACCCCTTGCAAACAATGAGACGAAGTGCACACGCGCGCGTCGTCGCGCGCGCATGCCGAAATCCTTCAAAAACCTTCCGTGCCAGAATGATTTCGCAATCGAGTTTCCAAAACACACACACACACAAAAACACAAGGTTTCGCAACACAGAGTTGCTAAAAAAGCTTCCGCGAAAGCTCTTGCGAAATCTTAAGAACACCAAGAGGTTTTTCAATATTTTCACAGCATGCTACCAAACGGGCTTCGAGCGCGCTCATGTCGAAATATGTCGAACGCTCTTGCGCGTGTGCCGTCGCGAGGGTCCCCTGCAAAAAATGGGACGAAGTGCAAGACGCGCGCGTCGTCGCGCGCGTATGCCGAAAACCTTCAAAACCCATCGGTTTCGGACGGATTTCAAAATCGTGTGACCAATAAGAACCTACAAAAACAAAAGGTTTCGCAACACGGATTCTCAACAAAAACGTGCGCGCGCGCTCTTGCGTCGTCGTCGTCGTCGTCGCCGTCCTCCCTCCTCCCGCGTCGCTGTCGTCGTCGTCGTCGCCTACGTCGTCCTCTGTCTTTCCTCGTGTTCGTCGTCGTCGCCCTCTTTTGCGTCGTGGTCGTTTCCGTCGTCGTTGTCGCCGAGGTCGTCCTTCCTCCTCCTCCCTCGTCGTCGTCGTCGTCCGTCGTCGGCGTCTCGTCGTCATCCCTCCTATTTCGTCGCCATCGTCGTCGTCGTCGTTGTCGTCGTCGTCTTCCCTCCTCCCTCGTCGTTGCCGTCGTCGGCGTCGCCGTCCTTCCTCCGTCTTCGTCGTTCGCGTCGTCGCCGTCCTCCCTCCTCCCTCGTCGTTGTCGTCGTTGTCGCCGTCGTCGTCCTCCCTCCTTCCTCGTTGTCTTCGTTGAGGACGGCGTCGTTGTCTTCGTCGTCGTCGTCGTGGGCGTCGGCGTCGTTGTCGTCGTTGCCGTCGTCGACGTCGGCGTCGTCGTCGTCGCCGCCGTCGTCGTCGTCGTCGTCGCCGTCGGCGTCGTTGACGTCGTCGTCGTCGGTGTCGTCGGTATCGTCGTTGTCGGCGTCGTCATCGTCGTCGTCGTTGTCATCGTCGTCGTCGTCGGCGTCGGTGTCGTCTTCTTCGTCGTCGGTGCCGTCGTCGTCGTCGTCGTCTTTGTCGGCGTCGTCGAAGTCGTTGGAGACGTCGTCGGTGTCGTCGTAGTAGTTGTCGGCGGCGTCGTCATCGTCGTTGTCGCTGTCGTCGTCGGCGTCGCTGTTGTTGCCAATGGCCATGTGGTACCCACCGTCACGGTCTTAAGATATTTTGAAAACCAAGTTGCGGGTGGGTGGGTGGGATGGTTGCGCGATGAGCAGTGGAGTGGACAACTCACTGCGAACAGAAATTAATTGCACGCATAGATTGCACCAGACGTATTGCACCGCATAGATTGCGCGACACATAGATTGCACCACATAACGTGCGCAACATAGATGGAACACCATCGATCGCACCAGGTGGACAGCACGACCTGGATTGCATGCAACCTGTATGGCACCAGGTTCGGGGGTGAAAGGGTCCCCCCTGTAAAACGGCAAATTATCAAACTTGAGTCTGATGGCTGGCTTTCCTCGGGCGATCTCATATCTTGCAGCCGACATCCACACCGAGGGAGGATTACATTTTTAGTCACTCCTCCTTATCCTTCTCCTCCTGTCGTCCCTCTCCTCCTACATCTCCTATGTCGGGAGGAAGCGGGTGATGAACATGATGAGGATGATGATCAGGAGGAGGAGGGGAAGGTTCAACAGTATGAGGGGGGGTGATACGAAGAGGGAGAGGAGGCAGAGGACCAAGAGGATGAGGACGATGAGGGGCAGCTCCGCATCTTACACCTCCTGCTGTTCTTCCTCCTCCTGCAACGATAACTCCTCCTGCTCCTCCTCCTCTTCCTCCTACTCCTCCTCCTCCTCCTCCTCGCCATCGTCCTATATCTGCTGCTCCTCTCTCCCATACGGGAGGAGGAGGGGCAGTGATATGTGGAGGGATGCGATGAGCACGAGCGAGAGAACGACGACGATGGTTAGGTTGAGGAGTGACTCCTCCCCGTCCTGTGCTCCCGGAGGTCCCGGCCGCTTCCCCTGGGGCACATTCTTGTCCCCGATCTATGCTTAGTGGCCTCGGGGCCCGAGAACGGGCCCCCGAGGCCGGCAGGACGGAGCAGAAACGCCGCGACTGCCAAGAGCATGTCGTCGGAGGCCTGCGACGGCGACGGCGACGGCGACGGCGACGACGAAGACGACGACGACGATGGCGGCGGCGGCGGCGGCGGAGCCTGGCAGGGCTGCAGCAGCTCGGCGGCGAGGCGGGGTCTTCTTGTGAGGCCCCCGGAGCCCGCCTCGGGCGGGCTGGGCTGCTGGTCGCCGCCGCGGGCGCCCTGGGAGGCCTCGTCGGCAGGAGGGGAGTGGAAGAGAGAAGGAGGAAGAGGAGCAGGAGAAGGAGGAGGAGGAGGAGGAGGAGGAGGAGGAGGAGGAAGAGGAGGAGGAGGAGGAGGAGGAGGAGGAGGAGGAGGAGGAGGGAGGCAGAAAAAGGGACCTGCCCCGTTCAGCTGGGGTCGCGCCGAGAGCCCAGGGAAGTGGGTCCTCTGTCGACCCAGCGCACCCTCCCAGCGGCCCGTGGACGGCGACCTGAGGCCGAGACACCCGGGGCCGGAGGCGCCGCTGCCCCACGCTTGCCCGAGGCTGTTAGCCCCCTCGGCCCAGAGGAAGAGGCGTCGATGTGGCTCTTTGGCGGCGCGGCCCCAGGCCAGCCTGCGGGACCCCAGCCAGTTGAATGTTGGCCCCCGTTTGAGAGAGGTGGGCAAATTCCGCGGCCGCCAGACTTGTCGCGGGATGTGCCTGAGGATTGACCGTCGTCCTTGCGCCCAGGGTTGTGTCGGTTTCGACTTTCACGGCGATGCTGGGGGCGAGGGCGCGCTCCGCCGCGAGGACGGCATCGATGCGTATCCTTCCCAGCGAATCCTCACCTCCTCGTCCTCCAACCCCCCTTCCAACCGTTCCGACAGCACGTGACCCCACCACCCGCGGATTCAAGGAGGGGCGATGAGCGTCCCATCCAGAGTGTACACCCTGTTACAAAGAAGTGGTGGATGCGGCGGCCCACGAACTAGCACACGTCGAGGGCAACAACGCGGGCTCAATGAGCATGGGCACAAGCAGAAGGTGCAGAAGGAATCGCAGACGGACAGGATGAGGATGGAGTCGGCGCGGCCATCGTACTCGCGCTTTCTGGTGGTGGTTGAAAATGGTCGGAGACTTGTGTTGGTGATGCTGTTTGTCGGTTGTCGGCGCTGCTGTTATTCAAGAGACTGCACAAACCGCTTTTTCTGACCGGCACAAGCATCATCAGGCCAGTCCCCCCACGTGCTGTCCGAGCGGCCGTAAGCAAGATGTCATCGTTGCTGCCGGACTAGAGACATCGTCGTGGATGGATAGCAATGTTGTTGTTACTCTGTGTGGCTTCGTCGCTAGTGTTCTTGTGCAACCTCTGCCAGAGCGTTGTATGTTGCCGTCCCAAAGAAAGCGTTGACCCCAATGATACTGATACCCATGATGTTTCGTGTCGAACGCAGGGTTCAAGGTCACGGCTCGCTGCGTCTGTTGACTTGGCGTGTGGCTTGCAAGGTACGCAGCCCAGCCCCAGACCATCGTGCACCATATCAGACGACGTCTGGAATGTCGGGCATAGTCATGGACTGTTCGGCTCTGACACTTTTACTTTTTCGCGGATGCACACTGTTACGCGGATGGACGACGGCTTCGTTCAAACATGCGGCTGCCGCTTGAGACCATCCTCGAACAATATTTTCCAGGTGCAATCATTACCCAACTGCGAAACGCTGGGAGAGATGTTCCTATCTCAATACGAGACAATCGCCAGATACTTCTTGGAACTGACGATTCCTACGTCCTGGCACTTCCTATGGATAGAACGACCGAAGGCCGTTCTGTTTCAAGACGGGGCGGCTGCCCCCTGAATGGCAGGGCTCTGAGACGCTCGCGATCTCCAAGGGGCGACTGAAGGGGCAAACACTGTCGCGACACCGGCGGGAGAAGCATGCAGACCACTGCGCGGACAAGCAGCGCAGGACCAAAACATGGGGCTTGAAGGATCCACTTGGTGCATCCTGGGTCTGCACTCTGGCGCTCTCTCCCACACTACTCATCCACTTCCTCTTCTTGGACGCTTCAGGGCAGCTGGGCGCAGCCGCGGGCGCTGCCGCGGCGGACCTCCCCGCACGATGCAGCCGCGGCCACAACGGCATGCGATATGTTCCTCCTCCTCCTCCTCCTCCTCCTCCTCCTCATCCTCCTCCTATGTTTCCTCCTCCTTCTCCTCGTCCTCGTCATCCGCCTCCTCCCCACCTCCTCACAACATCCTCCTGTTCCTTCTCATCCTAATCTTCTCCCGTTTCCTCCCCTCCTCCGTCTCCTCCTCTCATCCTCCTCCCCTCCTGCTCTTCCTCTCCTCCTGCTCCTCCTCATCATCATCACCATCATCATCACCATCATCGTCATCATCATCATAATCATCGTCATCATCATCAGCATCATTACCACCACCACCATCGCCACCACCATCACCATCACCACCACCATCACCATCACCACCACCATCACCATCGTCACCATCGTCACCATCATCATCAACAACAAAATCTCCTCCATCAGCAACAGCACCTCCTCCTCCTCCGCACCCTCCTCCTCCTCCTCCTGCGAGCCTTCTGGGCGTCCATGGCCAGGGCCCCCGACCCCCTCTCGAAGAGCCTGCCCGCGGCCCCGGTGACGGTGCCGAGGAGCTGCCCTCGGATCACGAGCCAGCCAACCTCCGGGCGGCCAGATGGCGAGGCGACGTGACCGGCGAGGCGACGCCCTTCGGCGAGGCGAAACGCCGGCGAGGGGTCAGGCCCGGCGAGATCGAGGAGGAGGAAGAGGAGGAGGAAGAGGAGGAGGAGGAGGAGGAGAAGGCTAATCGCACGGCCCCCGAGGATCGAGTCGGAAAGGGTTGGAGCGCTTCTGGCCATTGTTCAACGGTGGGCGTCTCCAGACGGGGCTGGACGCTGTGGTGGTTCGTCCCCCCCCCCACTCCTCCTCCCATGCCGAAGTCCCCACCGGGGCTGGAGGACACGAGACCACAACTACTCGAGCGCTCGCACGAAACGTTCATCGCGGCACCTACTCCTCCATTCACACCTGAAGACCTGGCCCTATTAGAAGCAACGCGCTGGCCGTGACCAGGAACATGCACAACCGCCATGTGTAGCAACAACCTTGTCCTCATTGTCTCATCTTCTGCGCTGTCAGCTGTGCTTGTACGAAAAAACTAAACATTAACAATCGGCCAACACGGCGAAGGTTGCGACGCTATGAGAGGGAAAGGAGGTGAAGACGGGGAGAGAAGGAACAGGGAAAGGAGGGAGCTGACGGAGGAGAGGGGGACGGGGGGGCGTGGGGAGCAGGAGGCAGGATGAGGGAGGAGGCAGGAAGAGGGAGGTGGAGGTAAAAGGGAGAAGAACCAGCGGCGCCGTGCCACCAGGGAGGACGGACAAGAAGAAACAATCAGTATCCTCATCCTCGTCCTTCTCCGTCTGGTCGGTTACCTCCTAACCATCCTGAGAGGGGGCGCCCCGTGGCGGCGCGTGTCGAAGTAGAGGGTGGGGGGGGGCGGGGAACATCAAGTTGGTAGGGCTATAGAGGCGCGCGTGGAGACAAACTCCAGCAACTGACGGCCGCGCGAGGCTGGGAAACCAGGCCGGCCAGGAGCCCTTGGGTTCGGAAGTTCACCCCGAACCTCCACGACTTCCTGTGCCGGTACTCTTCCTTGAAATCCCACCAGCCCTCTGGGCGTCGGTGGTTTAGGGCGTTTCCTCTTCCACCCCTCCCTCTTCCCCTTCGGGGAGGGGTTTACCCCTCCAAAGAAGCGCCCAGGAGGCCCCAAGAGGTCCCAAGATGGCCCCAAGATGGCCCCAAGAGGCCCCCAAGAGGCCCCCAGAAGCCCCCCAAGAAGACCCTCAGAGGCCCCAAGAGGCCCCCCCCCCCGAGGCACCCAAGACCCCGAAGAGCCCCCCAGGATCGCCAAGAGACCCCCAAGACGTCCCAAGAGGCCCCCAAGAATCGCCCAAGAGATACTCCAAGAGGCTCCTAGAGGCATCCAAGAGACCTCTGGCCCTTGTGCTTGCCCTCCTCCTCATCATCCTCCTGTTCCTCCTTCCTGCTCCTACTCCTTCTATTCCTCCTCCTCCTCCTCCTCCGCCTCCTCCTCATCCTATTCATCCTCCGTCTTCCCACTCCCTCATCCATCCATCCATCCACCTCCTCCTTCTCCTCCTCACTCCTTTGCACGGTTCGGCCGTCCTCCTCTTTGCTGCCGCACTTCCCTGATCACCTCAACTCGCCTGGACATCGTTTCGGGATGGGCTGGTGGGGATAAGCGAAACGTCTAGAATTTTTCCAGGGTGCAGCACCGCGGCACAAGGCAACAAGTGGCGTGGGCAAAGGCAGGAGCAGCCACGATCTCTTGCTGTCGTGCAGAGGACTCCCGAAGCCTCGGAGGGGAGAGAGGTACAATGGAGGCCAGTCCACAAGAAATCATCCACAACAAACAACCCTGAGACCCCAGGACGTGCTTCGATCTTTGGCGTGGCAACGTCGCGCTCTCCAAAGCAGAACCATAGAAACCCAGGAGGCCCAGGGCACCCTGGATGCAAGCAGGGTGATTCTTGATATGGGCCCCCAGCGTAGGTGTTTGCGCGTGGCACGCAAGCGGCCAACGGGGCAGAGGGGCCTCGGGGGCCCCGGCTGCTTTCCCTGGGCCGCCGCCACCGCGGGCCCAACTCACGCCACAGAGGAAACTCATGCCTCAAAGGTGCCCTGGGTCTGTTTGCTTTCGCTGGTTCTGCTATGAAAATGCGCGACGTTCCCATGCCAAAAATCAAGGGACGTCCTGGGGTCTCAATTGGGTTTCTTGTGGAAGGTTTCTTGTGGGTTGGCCTCCACTGCGCCCTCCCCGAAAGCCGTCAGGCCCCGCCCTCTGTGGGAAGGCAGCACGCTCAACCCCCGCGGGGGCGACGACGACAGGGAAGTCGGTCCCCCCAGCGCCCGTGACAAGGCGCGCTGATGGTCCCAATAGGTGGGCATCAAATGTTTGTTCCATGGCACAGATGCGCAACCCCCTCCCCTCCAGCGCGCCAACGCAATTGCTCTGGATCTGCGGCGACCGTGATAATTTCCGCTGCGCCCCCAGTGCCTGGACGAGATCTAAACACCCGGCGAGGGTACGTATATGGCGCTTGTCGGCTGTCTCAGCGAATCGTTTTTCGAGTTCTTGGGGCGCCAAGATTGGCGGGAAGAGCTACTCCCGACAATGGCAAGTGAGGAATGTTCGCCCCCGAAGACTGGCAATGGTAAATGAGGAAATACTCCGGTCTCGTGGCAGGCCGTCGCTGTGACCAGGTGCCTGCCTGGCGGCTTCCTCGACGCTGCACTGCGCGACGCACGCGTTCCCTGAAGATCGGGTCGCTGGACATTCGCCACAAAAACGAAAGTGGCACAGATCTCGGCGTTCCTACCTCGGAGAGAACGCGTTTTACGGGCGCTTGCCTTGGGAACATTCGGCGGCGCGTTTCGAACCGGGGGGGTCCCCCCCCTCAACACCCGGCGCCGTCAATCAAAACCCGGGGGACTCCCCTCCCCCCCAAACCCCCCCCCTTCCCGAACCCCAACCCACCCCCCCTCCAGGGGAAGGACGGGGGGTTGAACCCCCCCTGCGCCGGCGCCGGCGGCCGCCAGCAGCGCCGACGGCGGGGACGCAGCGACGATGACCAGAGGCAGCCCAACAGTGAGGCGGGGGGGTTCAAACCCACCCCCCTGGCGCCTAGTGGGGGAGGGTTCAAACCCGCCCCCTCCCCCCCTTGGCGCTGGCACCGGCGCTGGCGGCGGCCAGCAGCGCCGGCGCTGGCGCCGGCGATTGCGGGGACGAACCGACGATAACCACCACTGCCACTATCACCACCACTACCACCACCACCACCGCCACAACCCACCACCACCACCACCACAAAATCCCACCATCACTTCCACCACCACCACCACCACCACCACCACCACCACCACCACAATCTACCACGCCACCACCACCATCGCCACAACCACCACTACCAGCAGCACAACCCACCACCGCCACCACCACAAACCACCACACCACCACCACCATCGCCACCGCCACCACCACCAGCACCACCTCCACAAACCACCGCCACCACCGCAACCCACCACCACCACCACCACCACCACTACAAACCACCACCGCACCTCCACCAAACCACCACCACCACCACCACAACCCACCACCACCACCACCGCCACCACCACCACACCACGACCACACCACCACCACCACACCACGACCACGACCACACCACCACCAGCACCAGCACCCGTACCAGCACGAGCACCACCACCACCCACCACCACAACCCACAACCACTACCACCACCGTCGTCCTCGTCGCCGCTCCAAGACGGTTCCGCCCGCCGCCGCAGGCGCCGGCGCCGGCCCAGAAAATGAAATCGTCATCCCCGCCACCGCCGCCGCCAGCCGCCGCCGACGCAGGCGCTGGCCCGAGGAGAGGGAGAATGGAAAACTAGGGGAAGAAGGGGGGGGGGGGGCTTTCAAACACCCCCCCTCTCACCGTCTGTCACGGGATGGGGGGGGGTGCGGGGGGTGCAAAACCCCACCCCGTCCATGCAGGGGGGGGGTCCGGTTCCACCCCCCCCCCCGTCCAAGCGACCACGGGACGCGTTCTTTCCTACCTCGCGCGTCCGACCTCGGGCGCAAGGCCCCAACGATGACGCGCGTGGGCCCGGCGGTCGCGCAAAAAACGTCGCGCGTGGCACGCGCCGCTGCGCCGCTGGCCCGTAGGCTGACCTGCGATTCGTGCCCGCGCAACACCATGCGCGCTTGCGCCCCCCATAAATGGCAGGCGCATCGTTGAACCCTCAAGTCCGGACGTGCATTGAACCTCGGCCGTCTAGCCCGACCACGGCGTCTTCGCAGGAACGGGCGGGGTTGTCCCCTGAGTCGTCCACAGACAACGCGACCTGCTGCGGCTGCGTGGTTTCGTGGACGGCGTGAGGGTGGAGACACGGGTCGGCGGACGCGTCCGTCGAAGCAGGAAAGGCGGGGAAGGCGACCCGACCGTCCCCGAACGCTCGTCCGTTAGCCTTGCTCCGATTTCATGTGCCTCCTCCTTGTGGTTGAATGCCGATGTTGGGTCGTTTTCCACGTAGTTGGTGTCGCCCTCGGCGGTGACGGTGGCAGAGGTGGCTCGGAACGCAACCCTGCCTGCGCGGTCGCCTCGCTCGACTCTTCCTGGCGCCTCGTCGTGGGCCAATCGACGCCCAACATTGGGGTCGGCCCCGACGGGTAGACCTGGACGGCGGGCGGGGGGACCTGGTCGATTCTGTACGTGTGTGATTCTCGTGGCGGTGTTGAGAGGTGTTGGTCGGTCGCGGCAATGGCGCCGTCACGGGCGCGATGCAAATAACGCCGATCATTCCGATGGCCCCTGTCGTTCATTCTAACAGGCTACTTGCGGCGCAAGCCGGATGTGTCGAGCAACAACAGCAAGGCGGCGTATCGCCGCAAGTATTGGATTTCGATGGTCAGGTCCATGTAGTGAACCTCCGCGGCGTCAGCATGCAACTGTCGACGGAATGTCCGTGTACTCGTAGCTGGCGTTAACTCGGCAGCCGCAGGCCTGCGGCAATGGACACGGGGGCGCGGGAACCCCATTGCCGCACGCATGGTCTGACGCAGCCACCAGGCACCTGCA